ATACAGTAAAAAGTGGGTTATACTATGTTATTTCCATAAGTATTTGTGTTCTTTGACAATAAAACAGCTTAGTTAAAATAAATTCAGTTTTAAAAAGGTCCCTCTTTTTGCACGTCTATTTTCCGTTGATTTCTCATAGTAGGCCTTAACAGTGCTGCGTACTTATAGAATCACGGCCTCGATTTAAAGAAAGCAGCAGCATTTTTCAAGTTAAGGAATATATCCTTTATCTATATTTAAAAAATGGTTCAGATCTATGCAGTGTATGCCCTTGCGAAAGTACGATTTTATGAGGCATCTCGATGTAAAATATACGTAACCTGTACATAAAACACAACATAATTAATAAAATACATTCTTCTTGTAGTTAATTAACAATCGCATTAAACAAAGGCTATACCTTGGTATCAATCGACTATTTAAAATCTGTAAATAATATTCCATTTAATAATAAAACGCATTTTTACATTGTTAAACAATTTCTCAATTTGCCTCTCACAGCACATAAAGTACGTCATTTTTACCAGTATGACGTCATGTTTACAAGTTCATCGCAATGAGTGCTTAGTTTTTAACCAACTACATGGGATTTAACTAGCAACATTTTTAATGCATTGATAAGTTATAATGTTGTTTATTATACTAATACTGTAAAGAGTTGCAAATTATTTCATTTCCACGTATTATCATTATTTTGTTTTATTCACACAACATACCTCATTATATACATATAGAATGATGTGTTTTTCATTTTAAGAAAGAGAGAGCAATAGAGAGAGAGAGAGAGAGAGAGAGAGAGGGGTGAGCAACAGAGAGAGAGAGAGAGAGAAAAAGAGAGAGAGTGTGTAAAGGTTATAGTTAAGAAAATAGCAGCTTCCATCTGTTCCACTGGGTATCAAACTTTTCCTTTTTACCATTCTTATAAGAGATAATTTTTTGTGTTTCATAATGAAAATTCATTTGTGATATTGCATTTTGTACATTAATAGGATTCTTTGTGCACGTTGCAGTATAAATATAGTATTTAAGCCAAAGAAGAATAGCATTTTGAATATCAGTATTTTCCTCAATTAATCCTAAAATAAAAGATTTCTTAGTAACATTTATAATTAGACCGGTTTTATCTTCAAACAAATGCACAAATTCTTCAAGAAAAAGTTGTATATTATCACATTCCCATAAAAGGTGTTCTATTGTTTCATCCTCAGTATGACAAAAACTGCATAATTTACAGTCATTTCTTTTAATTTTGAATAAAAATGAATTTGTTGCTAAGATTTTGTTTAAAATCCTATATTGAAACCATTGGAGTCTACAGTCTTTTGTTACCCTAAAGGGTATCATATGAATTTTTTTTTCCATTCCTGAGTTCCAACGTCTAAAAGCTCACTCCAATACGTTTTACCTGCTGTGACAGAAGTATTTTGAACAAGGATTTCATAATAACTTTTGGATTTTCTACATTTCACTACTCTGTAGATATTAGACATTATTATGGGATTAGTGAGCTTTTTGATTGTTTTTTCCTGACCAGAATTTTTCATCCAATCCTTTATAGCATGAATAATACTACTGAATTCTAAGAAATAAATCTTTATATTTGGATAGTTGTTGCAGAAATGCTGATAAGAAAAAAGTGAACCATCCTCATTAATAATATCATTAATTTGTCTAATGTTGCTGTCAAACATTTGTTTATTATAAAATGGTTTTCCACAAATATGCAAATGTGTGCAAATGATTGTAAAATAGTGGTGAGTCACCAGCAACATCAAACTTTTTCTCAAGATTTTGTAGCATTATCCATGACTTAAAAACATCTATCCAAAATTTATTTTTTAATGTTTTTAAAAAAGTTGTAGCATATTCAATTCCACAACTTATAAATTTGTTCAAATTAAATTTAGGAATGAGGTTTTCCAACCCCCTATTTTTAAAAATTAGATGTCTTATCCAAAATAATTTCATGGAGGCTATGATAGATGTCAGATTTAACATTTTCAAACCCCCCTCTTCATATTTTTTCACAATTACTTCTTTCTTTACCATATGGGTTGAATTATTCCATATAAATGAAAAAAAAAAACATTTTTTCCAGTTCCTTACAGAACGATTCAGAAGTATTTCGGATGGACATTAAAATATGATTTAGTAATGGTAGAACTAATGTTTTAATAACTGTAATTTTCCCTATGGGAGTTGAATACCTTTTAATTCATTTCCACGTATTATGAAAACTACATAAATGTAATATTTTTGTGTGACGTCATAGTATACCTTTCCCGTATAAATTAGGCCCCGCCCCCTTATTCAAGCCTTAACAATGCTGCGTTATGCAGAACTACACATTTTCAAAAATATATAACATGTTTTAGAATTAAAAGAGTGGTACTTGTCTTTCTAATATACTCAAGTGTCGGAAAATTTTGGGGAAGTGGTACAAAATATATTGCCGATCAAATCCATCTTCTTACCTGAATTTTCATAAAGGAAAAGTGTTAAAGAGTATAGAATTTACCAACATATAACGTAAGTTGACAACATATGTTTAAATTACTGTTTACAGTCAAGGGGCCATGTTAATTTGTTAAATGTAACTTATGGAGATAACGAATAGTACCAATTTTTCATAGGTGGGATCAGATGAGCATCTCCTGTCTACACGTCATACCATGCGAGTGCCCCTTGTCTTGAAAGGGAATTAAAAAAAAATTCCGGGAAAATTCGTCGTATAAATAATGGACTATCAATTACTATAAAAAAAAGTTGGTCAGCATCTGAATCAACGATAAATTGTATTTGCTGTCAAGGTTTGCCATTGTATCGACCAATATGTAGATCTTACGAAATGATGCTTTTCATCAGTGTTTTTCATTATCTTAATTCCTAACCTTTACTCACCCTGTCTTGTGTTTTGTGTATATATTAATGTCTTAATGCGTTTTATACGGGGTCAAAATTGCACACAGCACCACATGTATTATTACTTCAGCAACATATTCATAAAGAATTCCATGTAATGCAAAAATATAATTTCAATGTTTATAAAGGCCGGTATACACGATGAGATTTTTAGTATAATACAAGTATTATAATACTTTTGTATCATAATACTTTCTTGTACACACGCTAATACATATCTTATAAGATTGTAAATAAACTATTACTCCCACGTGTTTTCTCCTGCCATATTTCTCTCTCTGTCAAAATAATAAAATCGATAATAATAAGCTCTGCTTCTAGCATCTTTTTTGTGGTAGCTACAGCTTGATATATTCCACAAGTCCTCTTCCCCTTCCCATAAAACCACGAGTTTTTCGATATTTTTACTCGAAAAGTCGGCCATTATTATTTACCATGTGCTTTATTTAGTAATGATATAAATAGGATGACCCCCAATGCGAGTACATTTGATTGGTTGAAAGTGAAAGGTGAGTTAAGACTTGTATTAGGAAATAGAACATTGCTCAATTCTTAATACAGTCTTATAAGATTCGAGAAATCTTATGATACATTGTATTAAGAGTGTATACACTGTAAGATTTTGTATTATAATACAAATCTTATAATACAAATCTTACCGTGTATACCGGCCTTAAGATAAATGACATTATTCATTCTGATATAAATGTTCTTTCTTCGCCTGTTTTCTCAGAAATCGATATAATCCTCTTTGACAAGAGAAAAGGAACAAAGAAATATAGATATGTACACTTGACTAGCGGCATATTCTTATTCCGGCTGTATAATGATACAAACCACAAAATGTGTTCTTTGTATCAAAAGGAAGAATTTTCTATCTGGCGGTATAAAATTATGTACATACATGTATCTAAAAAATTTTGCGGAAATATGAGAAATATTTGAAAGGGGAGTTACAAACACAATATGCCCTGTGGCAACAAAGTTCGAAAAAAGCTATTTTTAGCATATTTGTCACAGTCACTGAACTTGGTGTTATTTGCAAGACCTTAATTAGTAGAGTATGCATTTTAAACATAAAGATAAAACTTTTTATCTCTTATGGTTCAAATGTTATGGCGATAATTTAAAAAAGCTATTTTACATGTAGGCCTAGCTGCACATCTAGAGTGTTATGGTTTTATATATTTGTCTTTGACCATAACGCTACAGATCACGTAACGCAAAAAGGTGCAATTTACAGCGCGATATTTTTGCTCAATGTTTGAAACAATTTATCCACTTTCTAGCATTGGTCAAACAACCATCTTTCACACCATAATTCTACACACATTCTATAGCCAATATGTATATTTTATCCATCTATCAACTATTTATAGTCGTCTTTACATGTATTAAACTCACTTGAAGTAAATTGTCGGTAATCTAACAACTCTGGAAGATGGATTAAATATACAGAGTATTGAAATTATGTGCCTCTAATAAGGGATTGAAAGGTATAGTTTATTGACCGATGCTGTAAAGACAAATACACCATAACGCTACAGATCTGCAGCTAATGTAGGCTTATGTCAAAGTCACAAGGTTATTGACCTTGAAATCATTTAAAAGAGCTTTATTAGTCGAGTATGTATTATAAATATGAAGTTTCTATCTCTTACGGTTCAAACTTATAACGAAGGTTAAGGTTGACAACAAAAATTAATAAGAAGGGTTTACAGTCTCAAAATATATTAAATAAATGATTTTTCAAATAAACTAGAATTTCATTAGCTTTTACAAGCTTCCGATCTAAGTGCAGACATGAGCCAGAATTCCCTACAAAGCATTCTTTGTCGCAGGAATGCCCCCTCCTTTCTGATATCATGCGCCTGATCAATGTTTTATCAAATGTTTCTATTATTTCTCTTTTTTCTGTTGTTGCTTAACATTTAAGTGAAGTTTAAGGGTGTATTGACTTTTCTCATTGGTTGAATTTTAAACTTCCCTGTTTTGAGATGTATAAAGCTGTGGATATATTCAAGAAACGATATATTTCAGAAACATTTCCAATAACACAACAACAAAAGAGTGAAACCATGGCAATCGTGTGGGCAGCGTTCCTCATGCCCGTCTTCCTATGTACGTGTTCCCAGCACATTTATGTGAATGAAGACTCTGACTGCGCCAGAAATGGAGAGGCAATGGAACAAATTAAAAAAATTTGGATGAAACTTGGGAGGATCCAAGAGTCTGTCGATCGCCTGGCTGTGGACAGTGATGGGAAGGCTTCCGTGGATGATGTGGATTCCCTGCGGCATGAAGGTAAATCTCTTGCACTTTCAAACCTCTCTCCTCTCTCCTCTTACACTCATATTTGGTTTATATATTTATATTGGTATAATCGTGTAATTATCCCCCCCCCCCCCCGCTTGAAAAAAGGGACATTTTCGGGATAGGCGAAGCAGCGAGCAGTGATAAAATTCTGCTTAGATATCGGAAAAACACTAACAGAGACCTTTAAATGCTCATAAGTATTTAGTTGAAAATAAAATTTTCAGACGGAAGGAACATTTTACAGAATGACATGTGTGAAGAAGACCATCATTCTGAGATTGCGGTGCTGTAAAAATTTAATTTCGTAACGTGATTTTGCCGTATTTCCTTGAATATAGTCGTTTTTAGTGGACAGAGGTAGGATGATTGCAGGTAATGAGAACAGGTATTGTTAAGTATTGTTTTAAGTATGAAAGCTGAACATATTGTGCATTTTTTAAGACTGGTTAAAGCGACACCAGAATTATATTGAGTTAAACAGTGACTTTGTTGAAAAAAGTTACATGTACTCGTATTCAGCTTTTGACGTCAGGTAACGTCAAGGATTTTTGTTTAAGTGCTCATAAATGAGTGTTTGTCTTTTTTGTATCTGATAAAAATATAACTATTTGTGCTTTGTTTTTGTAGAAAACTTGCATATTGATAAAATGAAATATGAATTTAATGAAAATAATAGTTCCAAGTTTTTTTTATCAGTGTTTGTCGGTAATTATCAATGTTGTCCACGAACTTTACGGACAACCCTCGTAGACCAACTAGTATGTTTTCTGTCTCCATTTTAATTTGTAAGATTAATATTAGACAATTAATTTTGAGACAGAACTGACATTTCTTTCTCAAAAGGAAAATATTGAAAAAGCTTACTTATGACAGAATAAACCAAAAGTTTTCCAAGCAAAACCTTAAATGGATTGCTTTTACGGTTCCGTTCGATTCATATCTTCCTTTCTTTACAAAAGAAAACTTAAGTACTGTAAGCAAAATATGATACCCCGCTGATAAAGGATTATAGTAATTTCAGAAGAGTTCAATTTTTGGCAATATGTACATGTAAATGAGGAAATACGTAAACAAAATATATATCCCTTAGTTTGAATAATGACAAAGTTCATGTGTTTGCTGTAGATAACACTGAATATATTTCCGAAGGAAACATGAAATATATAGTTTCTGTAAAGTGATGAACAGTCTTTAAGATGAAATACTAAAAATTATAGTTTTTCTCTTTTGGTTTCATACATAATTGTGTTAATTTGTATTGCTTATGGATTAGAAAGACAATATCAATTCATGCAAGATACCTTGTACAAACAAGAATGTGAAGGGAAAGTGACATGCTTGTTTTTTTTTTAACGTATTTTTTAAGTTGAAAAAAAAAGGAAAATTACTTTCAAATGCTCATTGAGTTAAATTCGAGCTGAATATTAGCGTTATCTTATTACTAATAGAAGCCAATTTCATATATTTAACAAAATAATATTATCAGCATGTAAAATAAACGACTCAAATACCCCCCCCCCCTCTTTTCACTTTCATTGCAAGTTAAAAAAGAAAGACTTGAGAAAATTCTACAACCTGGCGAAAATGTATGAGGCGGAATGTCTCTTTTATAAAATATAGCTCTCAGCCGTAGAGTATGCCGGTCCATTAAACTAGAAAACTTCATGAAATATAATTCAATTAAAACAAGAAATGAAATAATTCCTTCAAATATACATGCAATGATGTGTTCATCACACAGCACGTGCAGACGGCAGTGCAATCTAAAAATTATAATTGTAAAAATAGTACTTAAGTGGGTACGTGACGCAAGCCCACTGTGATGCAGGTGTTCTAATACATATAAAGTATGTTTTGCATAAAAGACCAGTAATTTGCTTTCTGTGATGTTTTTTTTTTAATCCAAGTGAATGTATTTTAAGTAACTGGGACTAATTATATGGATAATCCATGCAAAAAGTAAGCGAAAAATAATATTTTGATATCCATGATGTATTCATGAACTGTAGAATGTGTAACCAAATAATTGGTGAGCTTTAAATGTTGCAGATAGAAAGACCCAGATTAATTTAATTACATCACTTTGGTTCAAATGATGACTAGCAAATACTTATAGCCAATTTAAACTGTAACAGTTTCTTTATGAAAAGGTAACATATACTTTTGATTGTTGTGCAATTATTCTTTTGTAATATTTAACTTTTATATTGCAGGTAACTTTATTGCATTTAATGCATTTCCAACTGGATCACTTAACCTGAACATAGGTTCTAACGTCAACGTTGTTTATGACGGTGTATATTACAACTATGGAAACGCCTACAACAAACAAACGGGTGTCTTCATAGCGCCATCTGACGGGCTTTACGTATTTTCTTGGGCAAGTGTCGTGGAACCCAAAAAGATGTTTGACTCGGAAATCCTTCTCAATGATCAAAGAAAAGGAATCGGAAACTGTAACAATCTGAAAGGTCTAGGTTATGAAAACTGCTCACGAACATATCCACTGGTTTTGAAAGCCGGGGATAGAGTTAACATCCGGACTGTAGGCGCAAACCACCTGGAGGGAGGATGGTCCAGTTTTTCTGGATTCAAAGTATAAAGACAATTAAATATTCATACAAACATATGAAATAAAGCATGTATAATAAACCACCTTTTTGGCCTTTTTTCCTTCTCTTTTTACAAGTTTTGAAAAATCATGTTGACTTCCCAAAGATACTAACTATATAATCCGAGATTCCTCTAATCTTATCCTAGGTTTTTATATTATGTCATGCGCAGGGGGTTGGAGGGGAAGCCATATTGAAAGGTTCAGAGACACTGGCTATGTCGCGATTCTTTTTACCATTTACATCGTATGCGTATCAAACAACCGAGACGCGAGAAATCAATAGAGGGATGCTTCTTCATCCCTTTAACTTTCTATCGTGAACTTACCTTACTTATAAACCAATATACCTTCATCACCTGTATATTGCATTTATATATCTCAGTTGATTCCATATGCAAAAGAAGTTAATGAAACAAGACCATTAGCAGCCTTGCTTAAAGTCATAATTTCGTAAGTTTTACTGTAAATACAGTGACCTCGTCAGTAAATACAATTCATCATTGAGAAAAATGCTGACTGACGTTTTTTATACTGATTTTTAGTCCATTATTTATACACCGAACTGACAACGGATTTTCCCGTCATTTAATGATCATAACAAGAAGCACACGGTGGGTGTGAGCCGTCGAAAGGAGATGCTTACGTTTCTGATCCTACGCATGTATGTTAAGGTTACAACACAGGGGCTTGTGTAAAGAAAATAAATACACAAGAGAGGACGACATTTTGGATACCACCTCGCTTCATCTGCTATTTTCTCGATTAAATTGTTAAACTAGACCTACGAGCCGGTTCATATCCCATAATAAATGTATTTTATTGATGGTCTTACTTGCAGTTTAAATCTTTCTTCGTTTACATGAAAAACATTTATAGGGGCTTGGTCAATTCATCACGTAAACATCCAAAATCGACATTTCCTTGGCTTCTGCAGAAAACGAAAGTATGACATGTGACTTAGAGAATATTTCGAACTACCCCGGATTCAGTCCAAATTCAACAAATTTTGGAAAGGAGTGAAACGAAAATACTTTCAAACAGAAGAGCACAGAAATTAAATAACAGTCATTGATAAGATGTAAGTATCTGCGTTTACCAATAAAATATTCAAATTTTTCAGTTTGGGTACGACTTTGCTTTTACCTTCATTGTAATAGAAAAGTCCTGAGACAAACCGAGTGACACTACGTCACGTGCTATACTTTCGTTTTCTGCAAAAGCCAAGGAGTTGTCGATTTTGGATGTTTACGCGATAAATTGACCAAGAATTTAAATGTAAACAAAGAAAGATTAAAACTGCAAGTAAGACCATGAAAAAATCATTAATTAAGGGATATGAACCGGCTCCTATGTCTAGTTTAACAATTCAATCGAGGAAATAGCTAATGAAGCGAGGTGGTATCCAAAATGGCGTCCTCCTTTGTGTATTTTTCTCCGAGGTACTATTTTTTGACTGATTTATTTTCTCTACACAAGCCCCTGTGGTTACAACCAAATATTCTACTTGTCTATATGATATGACGTCATAGTAAGCTATATGACGTGACGTTTAGAGATATGAATTTCTTAAAATCGATATCTAAGATTGATTTGAGATTTTAAAAATAAACCAAAATATGCAAAGGCATAATATATACGTGATTTTGTCGTTTCTGTGTCTCTGTAGTTATCACATGGGTTACATACCAAACCCGTGACGTCATAATTCATGATCATAAAGGAAGGTGAAACGTAACGAGAATTTGCGTAAACAAACACAAGAAATCGGAGTTTAAAAGCATTTACAATCAATGTCATGTGTGATTCATCTGGGAATAAAGCTTAAGAAAAAGGTACGCTAATATTTTTTACAATTTCTTCGTAAGATTAAAGCAGGCAGGGTGTTTACTTGCCGATCAGCCTTTCCTCTGTCGTTCGTAACAGAAAAAATGCAAAATTTCAACACTACGCCGCATACTTTGAAACTATTTTTTTTGTATTTATCTAAGCTCTCATTCTATTGTTTTTGGAAAGCACTGCTAGAGTCGTATGGTTTACGGGAATTGATGCATGTTATGAACAAAATGTAAAAATTTTGGGAAAGTTTCGTCCTAAAGTGTTGAATAATTTTTTTTCTGTGACAAGACAGTAGGATTCTAGCAGCACTTTTCGTGGTACAGAGATGTTTTTACATAACTATTTTAACAAATTTAAATTTATCATCCCCGGGGTAGTGTTGATCTTTTTTTACTTTTTCATTAAGGCATATTTTCTAATTATAGACGTCAAGTGCTTCCTGTAGTATATGTCCCATTGAAGTCTAAAGAATGCATAGTAATAGCAAAATAATTGACTTTTCCGAATTATTAGTGTTATATAATTTTAAAAAAATGTCAATTCCCCGAATTCTGATCCATGTGCTGCCTTAACAAACCCATGTAGCTCTGATGGTTGTTGCTATGTTTCTATTTTGTTTTGCTTTATGCACTTTGATGTCGAATATTATTCAATGTTTCCATTTCCTTCATTAAAAAATCTACCCAGTCCAAATCTTACATGTATTAATCTTTCTTGCTTTTCTACATCTATTCACAGAATTATTAAAAAGTAAATGTACTACTCCGGTTTATTGTTTTAATGAGTTTTATTTCGGAAGACTATACTAATAAATTCTTTAAACTTTAAAAATGTGGGACAGTTTACACAATTATCGTAACGGGTCCTTGTGAAATATGAATCTTATAATCGAGAAATGACATTAGAGTTCCCTTCCATTGTTGGCAGCGGAACATCTTCGAAAGAAGGTGACTGGTCACCAATACCTGAAATGGACACATAGCATGTAAATATGACAATGTTTTATTAAATTAGACTTATGTAATGTTTCCAGATTTATTTTGGAACTGACATTCCGCCTCGTGAAAAGGGTAAAAAAGAATCATAAACATTTGACATACCAAAATTTACCAAAAAACATAATAATATACATTGACAATAATTTCTCGTTCATGACTATAGACAAACAGACTGACATTTTGCTAAAAATTATCCAGACAAGTGAATTTACCAGTATCATGGGTATAAAACAATTCAAATATGTCCTAAACATTATTTTTCATGAAATTTTATGCATTTAAACAATTACTTACTCCTGTGAGGCTAGGAAAAGATCAAATATAATGTGAAAAGCTACTCCATTGACTTGGGCGGAAACATAAAGAAAACACATAGTAATCAAACCCGTACAGGGAAAATTTCCGGATCGGGAACTTTACAACTTACATCTAATTAATCTCAAACAAAACCATCAATATCTCAATATTGATCTTATTTAAGGTAAAGCAAAAAATATCAATGATGGATACAAGTGTGTAACTAAGCTGTATTAAGGACCGATGTGGAAAATGTAACCTTAGTACCGTTTTATGTGTATGTTACACTTCTTTTTTAAAATGGTAACAAAGCAGCTGAATATCTGTAGAAAATGTAATATACGAGGGTCGTTAGAAAAGTTCGCGGACACATTGAATTACGGAAAATCTGTTGTGTACTGTGAAGTATGACCTATGTCTGAATAAATTCCTATATTTTGTTTACTGGTGTGTAAAAAATCAGGTCCATATTATAAAATCTTGAAAATTTACAACGATTTTTAGTATGAGGTTCTGGGATTCACGGAGCAATCAATTGACGTAAGGCGACGTGACAACCAGATTTCACCCCGTTAAGCTTTGTCGCAGTTCTATAAATCTTTCATTTCTTCAGATATTTCTTGTCTTTTTTCTACTTTAAAATTAAATATCTATATCAAGACATGTTACTTTTCTTCTATAATGTCTTTTGTACTGATTCGGATATTATTGAGATCTTATAAAAAGTCTATGCAGTTAATCGATCAGGTATGGAAACTATGCAAAACCATATAGGCGCAACACAACGTCCATGCGATACGGGGGTATTGAAGTATCGATGGAGTTAATCATTAAAAATGTTAATCCTTCCATTCTTTTGAAGCTTCAACTATTTGAAAACTTGTCCTTTGTATGTGTAGGAAATTCCCGGCAGCATCTTGAACATTTTAATCTCTTTTTAGACAGTTTCCAGTCTGCATACACAATTTTTACGTTGTGCAGTGCTCCATGACGCTCAATGACGTTCCGATTTTTGGCTGTGTTTTTACGCGTTGTTCATTTATAAACGGCTATAAAACAGTCATATACCCTCCAATTTAGTTCAAAATTTCTCCCAGTGACGTTACATGAATACTTTAGCGGCAGGTTAAATATCATAAATCTCTTTGCGCTACAATTGTGCAATTTTTAATTTTAATAAAGAGTCTTTGTGATGTAAACGTGCCAAAATGTAGCATGCTCCGTGAAGCAAGTTTTATCAAAATAAAAAAGCTGTATATTTTTCAATAATCACCGTAGAGCACCAAATTCTTGTATATTTATTGGAAAAAAGGTAAAGATTTTATCTGGAAAGTTTGACCGGTTTCGCTGAAATAGCGCGCTCACAATAGAACTTGTCCGCGAACTTTTCTAACACCCCTCGTAGCTATCCGTAATGGATAGGATGCGCCGTAGTTATTACCATTTATATTGCATGTATCAGCTATTTGTCACCTGACTTGTATAAAAAAATGAATTATTAAGCTGAATATAAGAAATTAGGATAGTGCAAGGACGTACGCTTGTTTTTCAAGAAAAAAATTGATACACTTTAAATGATGTTTATTTCCTGTACTCAAAAAGTGCTAGGAACTAATCTGTGTTGTTTGCAAAGAACTGAACATATTGACGACATTGCTTATAATAGCTAAATATTTCCACTTCACTTAAGTTCTGTTATAAGTAAAAATAACGTTATACAGACAATGATAAGCACTTCTCAAAATATACATGTATTTAATTCTTGTAATTATTAACCTAGTAAATCTATTTTTCTGGATCACCTGTGCTGCGTCATGTCAAGGCAGATGACGTCATATTTGAGAAATACTTTCGAAT